ATATATATATATATATATATATATATATATATATATATACAGCAAGAACTTAATATCCTGCAACAGACACTAAAACAGTAAAGAAGAAAGTAGCTAATCTAAAATAATGTAACTACCACAGGGAGAAAAAAAGAAATGGGGTGGGGGAATAATCGATGATGTTATGTAAAAAAATAGAGCATAAGATTCAAATATTTTTTTGAACGCTTAGGACTTAATTTTCCAAAAGTTACATAAAATCATCTTGGTATGTATAAGATAGTTATGTAAAGGTACAAGATTCAAAATTATTATTTCTTTCAAATAACTTATTTAAAAAATGTACACAGTTGTATTTACTTTATTTTCTTTTGCCTCAGTCAAAACAACTTAACTGCATTTGCATAACAGATTTTAAGAATGTTCCTGGCAGTCGAGCTGTTGATTAATATACATATAATATATAACATACTATAAAATCTGAATTTTCGTAATGTTTTAAACGGCGTGAAGAACATTTTTACTTCAACTAACATCTTTTTATCTTCATGAAATCTGTACTACGTACCTTAGAGATATTACAATGACAAGCTGCCAGGATTAATGAATCAATATTAAACGGTTTTAAATAACATGGTTGTGTAAAATATGTTACATTATTTATATTGTCAGTATTCCTTAATGATGAGAGAACGAAGAAATTACCAACCAGGAAATATCATTTGTTGTTTTTAAGAACCCTGTTTCAAGCTATGATTTAAGTCATTTCTAAAATATCATTCTTTTCTGTGTGGTGCCTGAAATTTGATCTATTTTAAGTAAACCTAATAAGAAAAAGTAACTTAGCTGTATTTTAAAAAATCACACACTATCTATTCGACTTAAGTGTCTTGATAGTAGCTGAACTGACATTTGTATAGATATCAACCGACAAAGACTTACCAAATCGATATATCATCCCCAAACCAGGCTAAATAAACTGTGGATGAGACCCTTAATGAATTATACCTCCAACTACAACTATTTCTAAATCACTTTTAGTAGAAGTTTGAATATAATATTTTAGAGTTTTTCAGTCATCGTGGTGTTACTAAGACTTATTTTGTGTACGAGATTAGAGAATAAACAAACTATACGATTCAGAAAATTTATAAGAATGAAAAATTACATTTTTATTTTTCAGGCAGAGACTGTTGTTAATATTTACAGAGGACGGAAGTCTTTGAATTAGTGTAAAAACCCAAGAAATAAAAGAACATACATGTAGATAGTACAGATTCTTATTGTAACGGTTTACTTTTCTTTTTTAATAAACATTTTCGTCAGGAGTGGACCAATCGATAGCCATAACAAAAATATCTAGTACTTCAACCATGCTTCTAAATATATCATTTCTACGTACTTCAATAACTGTGGATCGATAGGTTAAAAAGTCTTAAAGATGTTTATTTTATTTTTTAAAGTAAAAGTGTTCAACAAAACCCTTCATTAAAATTTATTCTTAAATATAAATAACCTGTATAACTCAATATGCATACTTAGTCTATTACTAATATAAATAACCTGTATAACTCAATATGCATACTAAGTCTATTACTAATATAAATAAACTGTGTAACTCAATATGCATACTAAGTCTATTACTAATATAAATAACCTGTATAACTCAATATGCATACTTAGTCTATTACTAATATAAATAACCTGTATAACTCAATATGCATACTAATTCTATTACTAATATAAATAAACTGTGTAACTCAATATGCATACTAAGTCTATTACTGATATAAATAGCCTGTATAACTCAATATGCATACTAAGTCTATTACCTTATCTTTACAGATTCTTCTGAATAATTGATGAGGCATAACGTCTAGGAAAATCTTTGCGTAGGTGCTTAAGAAAACAAGAGAAGTAACGTCTTGAATCTTCCTAAAAGAAGGTATTATCAACAGTAAAAAAATAATAATGCACGTCGAGGTACAAGTAGCTCTGAATTTTCTCATTTCTTTCCTTTATAACAAATTACCGAGAAGAAGAGTCAATCAGTTTGGAGAAGAGATGGAAAAGATGGTAAAACAGAGGTTTGCTGGCCATTGGTATCCTGAGAGTCCAATGAAAGGCTCGGGATTCCGCTGTTTGAAAACCACGCCTCCACTAGATCTAGCATTTGGTGCTGCCGCAATGTATTGTGGTGTGAACTTGTCTGACATCCAGGAGAACCTACCCAAAGATCTCAGCATTTGGATAGATCCAGGAGAGGTGTCGTACCGTCTAGGTGAGAAAGGACCCGTTAGAGTATTGTACAATAAAGCTAACAACTGTGGGGAATCACAGCATCATAAACTGGCGCTTCCTTTTAATCCCGAAGCTCGGTGTTTCAAACCAGTGGATCGAGCTACCACACAACTAAACCAGATCTCTCTTGATGCTACTTCTTCTCCAGACAACTGTGCCTCGATGTCTACCTTCAAGTCAAACAGTCCAGTAACCACCCTCTTCTCCCAGTCTGTAGCTCCACTTACTTTTACTACCGCTACTTTCGCACAGACAAAGTTTGGTTCTACAAAACCTAAAACTGTAGGTAAAAGATTCCATCGTCTTTCTCCAACAGAGCTCAATAATTACATTAAACAATGGGCAACGGCACAACAAACACACCAGAATTCTCCTCAGCAACGATCTTCTATTTCTAATCCCTCCTCTTTAAATCTAGAAGTCACCTCTCCCATATTCAGTTCAGCACCTGGGCCTTCACAGAAGCTTGGTTCTTTGTCACCCAACACCGAATTAAACGTAATAGTGATGACTCAACAATCACATTATCCCGCAACCACAGCGCCAATCCAAAGTCATTTGAGCATGTCAAGTACGCGAAATATGCCTACATCAACTCTGTATGAAAATATATTTGGTGGATTTGAAAACGACTTGGACCAGCACCCCAAACTTAACAGCAACGCTAACATAAGTGCTTCAATCTCGTCACTGAACATTAATACAACACCTATACATGTGGCATCTCAACAGCTTGTGAACTTGCCATCCCTTAACAGCCATTTTCCACCCTTCTTCAATAAATCATTCTTTGGAACTGGAAGAAATACCGCCTCAAACCACACTTCCTTCAATGTCCAAACGCTTAGAGAGGCAAACTCGAACATTCGTGATTTAAATTCACTACCAATGTTCAGCCCGATTAGCGTAACGAACCCAAATCATTACCAACATTTATTAACTGCTACTTAAAGATATCTCTCAATCAATCGATCGAACTCTGATCGACTAGTCCCTTTGTTTATCAGTTTAAAAATTAAGCTTTTCTATTTGGCCAGTCCTATTATTATAGTATAGCATATATTTTAAGCAAGTTTATGTAAGTTAATAAGAATTTTGTTTGCAGTTTGAATATGCATCTAAGTCATGGCCGTCTTTCATGATTTTTTTTTGTTATTTTTAGTGCAAATGAATATGGGTTCTAGCTGTTTTGCTTAACAGAAAACTAAATAATAAAATAGCTGATAATTAACTACTCTCAATTAAAGAATGTTTTCCAAGATGTCACCTTAGCTAACTAAAAAGTCTTCAATTACTGAACGCTTTCCAAAATATCACTAAGACTAACTAAAAGATACCTGGCATGGTCTAGTAATTAGGGCGCTCGACCCGCAATATGCAGGTCGCGGGTTCGAATCTCGTCACCGAACATTTTCACTCTTTCGGCCGTGGTAGTATTCAAATGCGATGTTAAATCCCATTTTTCTTTGATAAAGAGCAGCCCAAGACCTGTTTGTGAGTGGTGTTGACTAGTTGCCCTCTTTCTAGTCTATCGCTTCACAATTAGGGCAGCTAGTGCAGATAGCCTTCAAGCATCTTTTCGCGAAATTCAACAAACAAACTAAAAGATACTCAATTACATAACGCGTTTCCATATGTCACTATATACAACTACAGATCGTCCAGCTATAGAATATAATTCAAAATGTCAACATGCATAATTAAGACGTTCGGTGATGGAGTGTTCTCTAAGATGTCACCATGGAAAACTAAAGGATATCAAAGCATAGAATGGTTTTTCAAGATATCAACAGGAATAGCTATATGGTGTGTATTTCAAGATGTAAACTTGGATAACTAACATACATTAAGTTACAGAATATCTTCCAAACTTTCAGCATGAATAACAGTAATACTTCAATTAAGGAAAATGTATTACTTGCTTTCAACTCTCGATTTTTTTTCTAAGGTGTCAGTACACATAAGTATAAGGCATGTAGTTTAGAAATGTTTTACAAGGTGTCAGTAGAGAGAAATGTAAGACATTCGATCAAGAAATAATTTTCAAGTTGTCAGAAGAAATAGGTATAAGACATTCTATTAGGAAAGATTTCAGAAGAGAAGAATAAGACGTACAACCAAGAAATGTTTCCCAAGGTGTCAGTTGAGATAATTATAAAGATATACAATTAAAAAATGTTTTCTAAGATGTCAGTTGAGATACGTATAAGACATACGATTAAAACAAAGTTTAAGGTGTCGGTATAAAGTACACAACTGAAACATATTTTCTAAGGTGTCGGTAGAGATACGTATAAGGTATGCAATTGAAAATGTTTTCTAAGATGTCAGCAGAGATAAGTATAAGGTATACAATTGAAAAATGTTTTCTAAAGTAGCAGTAGAAATAAGTATAAGGTATACTATTAAAAAATTCTAAAGTATCGGTAGAGATAAGTATAATATATATATATATATACAATTGAAAAATGTTTTCTAAGGTGTCGGTAAAGATGAGTATAAAGTATACAGTTGATAAATGTTTTCTAAGGTGTCGGTATAGATAAGTATATAGTATACAGTTGAAAAATGTTTTCTAAGGTGTCGGTATAGATAAGTATAAAGTATACAGTTGAAAAATGTTTTGTAAGGTGTCGCTAGAAATACGTTTAAAGTATATAACTGAAAAATGTTTTCTAAGGTGTCGGCAGAGATAAGTATAAGGTATACAGTTGAAAAATGTTTTGTAAGGTGTCGCTAGAAATACGTTTAAAGTATATAACTGAAAAATGTTTTCTAAGGTGTCGGCAGAGATAAGTATAAGGTATACTATTACAAAATGTTTTCTAAGGTGTCGGTAGAGATTAGTATCAGGCATACAATGAAAAAAATGTTTTCTAAGGTGTCGGTAGAGATACGTATAAGACGTACAATTAAAAAATATTTTCCAAAGTGTCATCTCAACTACAATACTTCCAAACATGACACTGAAACAATATCTGGTTTAACCCTCTCACTGCCATGAGCACATGTACGGGATACAATATGTAACCTTTTGTTTTAGCCTTAAAGTGTGATATTAGGTTAGGGTTCTGGAAAAAATGTATGTAATAAAATACATCTTACAATTGATTTACAGAATATTAATTTTGCGAGTTTTGGAAGTACATGTACTGATCATTATTTTGATTCACATTTCTTACAATCTGAGAATTAATCATCTGTGAAATGTATTAGAAAATTATCGGTAAAAAATCAGCTGTGAGTATCTAAGAATAACCCTGACATCCGGGGAGTTATTTACCTAGACACGTGATATTGAAAAAGTTGAAAGGAATAGGAGATATGTATATAAAATCTTTTTTCTTTTTTTTTGAGATTCTATAATTTTACGAGCATTGTACTAAATACAAGAAATTGTATACTTCACAAATTTCTCACACAGAAACTGAAATGTTGAAGCCATGAAAAGTATTTTGAATATAATGGGTAATAAAATATTCCATTTATAATTGTGGTAGTAATGTTCATGTAAAACAACGTTATTAGTAACTTATCAAAAGTTAAAAACATTTAATTGGTTAAAAAATGTATTATGAAAAATAAAACACAATAACAATGATAAAGCGATCAAACCCAAAATTTAGATTTATGTATTTTCAAATGAATAGCATGGTTAATCAAGAAACGAAGGTCAAAAATTCTTAAAATAATCATTGCCAGCCTTTTTGTGCTGGAAGAAGAAAAAAGAAACATTGAATATTCACGAACATATCTTGTTTTGCTCATACTTGCGTTTCACTATTTCCATTGCTGATTCGGGACTAATTTACAACGTTACAATTGTCCAGTTCTAAAAGTATTGTGTGTATAGTGAGTAACTAATATTACATGTCAGTTGACGAAAAAGATTAGTGTAAAAATATTTTCGTACGTATCCAAGTTTATTTATTCCTTAAGTAGTTTATTTTTGCTTAATTTCCAGGTTATGAAGCAACGTTCCAATATCTTGTAAATATTGTCTCTTTTTCATTACTATTTGATAACACTTCAGTCGGTATTTTGTAAACAAGCTTAAGTAATAACGACCTCTGGTGTTACTGACATATATTTACTAGCTTAATATTTATAATCAAATATTATAATTATTACATTTGGTAAACTTCCAAGTAGTGTCAAATCCTATGTACCTGTTCTTTGTATAATGAAAGTATTTTATATTTTCTACTATAAAAATATACATAATGATAGCGACGTTTATGGATCTATTGATTACTTTTATATTTGTGTTCTCTGACAAAAAATTAAGATTAGTATGTTGTTATAACTATAATTGTAAGATAGTGAAAATGTATGTTTGTTTCGAACCGTATTGTACAATTTATTGTTCACATCAATTAATGTCCGATAGATCGAACAATATAGTTTTGCAGAACGTTGTTCAGACTAAAACTAAAACAGCATTACTTTTATGAAGAACACATCAAAATATTGGGTGAAATTACTTATTTTCTGTGTAAAATACTCGGGAAACCCAGGTAGTAATTAGTCAAACTAATTGTAATGTTGTCGGAATTTGGCTTTAAATTTATGTGACTCATGTTACAAAGGACTGTTATTATAAAATCAGGGACCCACAAACAATTTGGTGCATAAATACATTAGATGAATATAGCTAAAAATCGAATGGACCACATCGACAATTCTAGGGTTAAAAATATTCTATTCGAAAATTGTTTGAAATTCTTTGCTTACTTTTATAATTAATTCTCATAAACGTGGGTTATCTCAGTTTTCCCATTATGTAATATGAAAACGTAAAATTAGTCTTTTGTTCAAATCAAAACATCAGAGCAAATAGTGACAAAAATATTTCATTGAAGCTGCCAAACTACAGGATTTAAATCATTTTCTCATAAAAGTATGTATTTTTTATATATTTGCATTAAATGTATTGTGTGCAATGTTTTCAAAATATGATGTAGCGAAGGATGTAGAATTAGTCAATATATAATCGTTGTGGAATAATACCCCAAAACCTGAATTTTCCTTTTTCCCTTTTCGTTATTTTCCACATTATTTGTGATCTGTATGAATTTTTACATCAATAAAATGAAGCTTTTGAAACTTATTTGATTGTTACGTTGTATGACAAAACGTTCGAAATCTTATGAACTTCAGATATTTCCGTAAACAACCTCTGAAGTCAAGCCAACAATTGGTTAATAACGTGACGGTGTCAAATACATTTTATTGTTAAAATGTAACATACTTATTTAAATGACCATTTATTAGGTTTCTGCATGATTATTCAAATTTGCAGGATTTTGTTATTTTGAAAAAATACGCGAATATTCATACATCGTTTTGTTTACAAGCTATGCCATTATAAGGACTAGAGAAAATAGTGGCTTTGAGAACTCCACTCAGTAGAGTCAGCTAAACAAAATAGGCATTTAGTGTCGCTAGTAATGTCACTCAAGAAATATGAACACCAGTGATTCCTAATAACGTAACGCAAAATAGTACAGACTTAGTGTCTCTTATTAATGTCACACATCAAATATGAACACCCAGTGTTGTCTAGTAATTTACACAAAAATGTGGACACCTAGTGATCCCTTGTGATGTCGCATAAGAAATATGAACACCCACTGTAGCTTAGAAACGTCACACAATATGTATGAACACAAGTGATACCTAGTAATATCACAAGACATAATGACATCCAATAACTTCTAGTAATGCAAAAAAATGTGTACACCTATTAATATTTAGTAATGTCACACAAAACATAAGGACATCTAGTGACGCTTAGTAATGTCACACAAAACAAAACGACATTCATTGACGCTTAGTAACGTCACACAAAACAGAAACATCCAGTGACTTCTATTAATGCTACACAAAATATAAGGACATGCAGTGTCTTCTAGTAATGCTACATAAAACATAGGGACATCCAGTGAACGCTTAGTAATGTCACACAAAACAGAGACATCCAGTGACTCCCAGTAATGCTACACAAAACATAAGGACATTCAGTGTCTTCTAATAATGCTACACAAAACATTGGGACATCCAGTGACACTTAGTAATGTCACACGCCTTAACCATCTGGCCATGCCGGACCCGATCAGAAAAGAATCATGAAATTATGTAACAAAGTAAACCGTTTATTTGAAGAATCTCGAATAATGCGTGGGTGGAAGATAGAAGAGAGTTTAAGGATCTGTTTTTAAAGAATAACTAAAACCAGCTGTGGATATGAATCTTTTATGGACTAAATCTGCTTGGAATTTAGGAGTGGACAATGTTTCGACGAATTGAAAAAGGCTTCGTGCAGCCCAGGGAGGAAAACGTCGTTATTTTTGCACTTGAGACAAATGTAGTCCATAAAACTTTATTTTAGGCTTAGTCTTTTTAGCTTCGGATTCACTGAAAATGAAAACTTATATATGTAAGTAAAGATTTTGTTTGGTTGAATAATTCGAAATAAACAATTCCTTAAAACATACATTAGTTGTATAGATGTCATAAACAAAAGTACGATATTTTGCTTATTTTATTTTATTAAAAATGTTATGGATAACGGCTTTTAAGCTCTGAAAAGCAAAGTCTACATGAAAAGCTTCAAAATACCACAGAATAGAGTACATTGTACCAGAAAATGAACTTGTCATTATTCAATATTACTGTCTAGTTTACAAGAAGAGAAAACATTTCGTTACATGATTTACATATTAATGCTGTTTAATATAACAAAAACGTTGTCGTATTATTAAATCCTTGTCGGTTACATATTTAACAGTAGTAGTACCTTTTAAACTCATTAGGAACTTCCAACTAAAGCTAGCCTCTATAAAGCACGTTGACGTCATTCCATTCACTCAGTTCAAAACATGATTTTCAGATTCATGGAGTTTTTATAAACAAAATAAAGAACAAAACGGTTATTATTTTCAGTCACGTCTAAAATCTTACTAGAAAAGATATGCAACAAATATTGAATATTCTTTGGGTTAAATGTGTATCAAAAATGATAGATCGTTATGTGATTAAACAGCAACATTTACGTTTCATTATACTAAAATATCAAAACTAGTTTAAATATAGCAACTATAATTTGAATAAATCGATCTGTGCTTTTTTAACTTTAGATTACATTCCAATCTTTTTTTATTGTTCTGTTGTACTGACAGTTCTGTTAATCGTAAAAAAAACATGTTTGTTAGTCTAAAAATACATACTTTACTCGTTATTACTTATACTAATCATAGTCATCAGCCCTTTAATGATACCTTTCGGCTTTCCTAGCTTAAATTTTCCATAACAATCTGACTACTCAAAAGTATATTCATCCTTCGAAATATCTCTTTCAGGGAGCGTCCATGTTTTCATGCTGAGAAACTCATTCACGGAACTGAAAAAATGAGTTGTTTTTTCCAGCTATTTGCACGGATGGCATCATCAAGCTATCAACCGGTTACAGAAAAGAAAAAATATTCGAAAAGTTTTGTTCGTATGGTGTTATCTTCATTCTGTTTCATTAGAAGCAGTTCTTAAAGTCGCTAAACATGAGTTTGAATACTCATATCTGGTCTGAAGTTTTGTTAAAATTGCAACTTCATTTCATATACAAGTCTTCTGGGTAAGGTTCAATAAACTTTTTGTTTTCTGTAGTTTGTACTTTAGCTATTTGTTTTTGTTTCTCATATTTATCTTAAGTGCGATAACACTAGTTGTTTAATGGAAATTGAAATCCATCGAAGATATAGAGACACAATTGTTTTTCCATCATTTCGTTTAGATGCCGCATTCACCATAATTATAGTGTTAAATGTGTATGTGTTAAGAAATACCAAAGTTTAATTATTTCAGATGCGAGTTGTTTGAAAAAAACAGTCCTGTCTTACAAATGTAGTATTCACAGTCTAAATAGAGATCATGAATTAAACGGTACCGGTTTTGTGACGTTAAAATCACTTTTCAAATATTAGAACAAAAAACCCGAGAAATTCATACGGCAGTTATATCAAACATAAATATTAAACAGAACTATATAAAAGCGTGGACAGAAATCTATAGGGGTGATGTTTTTATAGGAAAAGGGGAATTAGTCGTGAAGCCATACTTGGTGGTTGGAGGGATGGTGTAACACGCTCTTTAGAAAAAAGTTTAAATTTTTATCTTTTAAATATTTTTATGCGTATAGTGATGAAATTTAGATGGTACAATATCACCCTTCGCACCCCTCTTGCTTACGTCGTATATGCGTATATTTTTGAATGTGTCTAATTATTTTCAGTGTTGGTTATAACGGAATAATAAATGATTTAGAACATTTTATCTGCTTTATTAGCTTGTAGATAAACGAAAAAGAATCTAAGTTCTTCATTATGTTTTCCTCACCAAAACGTCACTGAAAAAGAAACTACCAAGCTAAATTTGGCAGCATTCATAAAATACGTCTCCTCTATTTGTAACTATAACTTATTGTTCATTAAAAATTAAAGAACATATAAAATAAAACCATAGTTCAGTCAAGGTAGATATGCCGTTACCAAGCTACATATTTTTTACTAGGTGGAAGGAAATCAAATATATCAGCAGTCAATCGTTATTTTATAGCATTTTTTAAGGATTTTTCAGTGTATCAGAGCTACTTTGCTCTTATAGCACAGCTACTTTACGCTTACAGCACAGCTACTTTACGCTTACAGCACAGCTACTTTACGCTTACAGCACAGCTACTTTACGCTTATAGCACAGCTACTTTACCCTTATAGCACAGCTACTTTACCCTTATAGCACAGCTACTTTACCCTTATAGCACAGCTACTTTACTGTTAATAATTAAGAAATTGCTTTTTTATTTACCCTTCAAAATGCTGTGTTGTTTTAATTCAGTCTTTACCTTTAATTTTTTTATGCTTTCTTTAATATTTGTTTGTGTTTGTTCTCGTCGTCTCTAATCGTTTTTCCTTCCCCCTCCACCGTGGTACAACGGTATGTCTGCGGACTTATAACGCTAAAAACCGGGTTTCGATACCCGTAGTGGGCAGCAAGCCCTTTGTGTAGCTTTGTGCTTAACTTCAAACAGACTTTTTTTTATCCATAACTTTCGAACCCAAGTTTCGACTTTTCTTTACGTCTTCTTTATATCTTTATTTCTTGACTTTATAATTGGTATGCTTCTTTTGTTTGTTGTTAAGCGCAAAGCTGTGCCCACTGTGGGTATCAGAACTTCATTTCTGGTGTTACAACCCTCAGACTTGCCGCTGAATCAATAGGGACAATTAGTATGGAAACCTAAGTCCTTCTTCCTTTCAGGCAAAAATGTGTTGTTGTTGTTTAGCATTGTTTACGTACTGTCTCATATCCGTTTGATTCGTTTTACGAAATTGAAGTTCTATTCATCATCCCACGTGTCGTCTGTAGGCGATGCATTTGTAGCTGACGACCTCATAACGCGAGTTCTTCTAGTGGAAGGTAAAGAATATGTGTTAGTATTGAAGAAAATAGACTTTCGCTGAAATGTTAGTTTGAGAAGTGCGATATTAAGGCTGAAGTATTACGCATAGAAAGCATTAATACGATTCTTTTTTTAAATGATAAGATAACGCATTCATGTTTAACATTTTTGGTGGTCATAAAATAATTTTGGTTTGAATTTCGAGCAGAGCTATACGAGAGCCATCTGTGCTAACCATCCCTAATTTAGCAGCAACAGATTGAAGATTTAAGCGACTCTTTTTACAAAAGGAATAGCGTGATTGATCGTCACATTATAACGCCCCAACGAACCCGCGACCCGTAAATTGCGAGTCAAACCCCCTAACCACGGGGCCATGCCTAAAATAATTCTAAACCTAGACATTAGGGTTCTGTATCTCATATTACCACACTACACAAGCGTATCTCTAAGCTAATTAACACAGAGTTGTTAAAAGTACAGGCCAAAGCTGCTTTTTATAAAATAAATAAATTCCAACTTGAATTAAAATGCAACGAGTTATTTATCATTGGATATTTTTAAAGTATTCGAAACTATAGAAGATTACCCTTTTTCTGTCGTCCCCCGTTGGATCAGCAGTAAGTTTACGGAATTA